ATAAGCTAAAAGTTTGTACTTGAAAAACTAAGAGCCATTCTATAAGATGCTATGCTGTGGCTAAAAACTGAATCTTTATAATTATGATAATGGAGGAAACAATCAGGGGTGGCATTTCTGTTTGTCCTCTGAAATTTAGTTAAGCAACTACAGGTGGTGTAGTCAAAGATCAATGAGTTGTTGTTTGTGAAATTTCACATTAAGCTACTTGAGGATTATCTGCACTAGCCATCGCTAAGTTTGACATGATAGATCACAGGAAGTATAGGTAGTCAAAATTACCCACTGCCAACTCATGGGCTACTCTAATCAAATAGTGAGGTTTGGCTGTTACTCTTAAAATGTACCTATGGCCCTGAATTGCAGAGTATAACTACATTTTTTTGCAGTTATGGGGCACAATCCATGGAACCTTGAATACACAGTTTAGTACGCTAATCACTGGACCAAATTTGACCCAAAGTAAACTTTATATACCCATCTCTTACTCATGGACAGTGAAACTTATTCAATGTTTATTTTGTGTTTACTATGCATAAACTCAACCATCAATAAAGGTGAGCTTATCTATCTTTCTTTTTTATTTCTACAGGTAAAAACACTGACATTAGTAGATTTTTTACCGTAATATACTTTAGCTTTTGTACTTTATATTAAAAATTAGGTTACTTAGTAATGAAGCAAAGAAATTATGAAAACAAAACTAATAAAATCTCACAACTTACAATAGGCTGAATGTTAAGCTCTTGTTTCTCAATATCTCCTTGCTGGAAGAATTCATTGGCAACCAGTTCTGCTACCTAACAAAAGTTTGTAAAGAAACAAACATGATTAGCTCATTTTGAAAAATTATTGGAATGAAGATAAGTTAGAATACAAATGTAAAAAAATCTAAGCTTACCACTTTTTGAATATCCCATGGTTTAGTGATTGCTGCTACATCACATGCAGTCATTAACATTCCCCTGAAATTATAAGGTGCACAAAAAACACATGAAAAATGAAGAACATATTCAAATAACTAAAGTTACAGGCAATAAGCATATGCACAATGAACTACAAGTTTATATTTATATACACATCCTCACACTTTTCTCATGTTTTTGCAATCTGCCACACCTAACAAGTGATGCCACACTTTATTTATACAGAGATAGGCTATCCAATGTCTTTCAATTAAAAAAATAGAAGTTACATATGGTTATAGGAAATTAAGGTTAAACTTAATAAAATCATAGGAATTTCACATAACAAAATAGGAATAAGAGTCAAAATAATGTCACTTAATAGAAGGTTTTCATGATATAAAAAATTTACAATTAATCATTTATTTCATACAAAAAGATATGTGATTATCAAATTACATCTAATGCAATAACCTATTTCAAAGTGAAAATAATTTATATTAACCTTAAGATTTTTGTAATTTCTTATTCTGCCGATTTAAAACACAGAAGATAAAAATCAATCTTCACTAACTGGTCACAATTATGAGGTTGCTTAATTCAATGCTTCTTGCATGTTTTTTTTAGTGCCAATTTATTTATGAAAAACAGATAACAATAAATAAAACTATTTTTATATTTCTCTTTACACTGGAAAAATATCTTAAATAAGATTAAATTGCAGTAATATTTGTTGGAGGGGGTTGTGAGTATGTAATTTCCAGGTGTGAAAAATGGAGAAATAAATAAACTAGGATGAAAGTGGAGAATAGGAAAGAAGTTATTTTTGTCCCTTGTTAGAACATACCCTGAATGTTTTTTTTGTTGTTGTTTTTTGAGAGGAATGGGTATTATGTCACAATGGAATGCGAGTTCAACAACAATTTTCATATTTCAATACCATACAGTCAAGACAGAGTAGTGAAACCACTGTTTAATTTCTGGCTCCAAGATAATGTCCAAACAAAGAACCAATTCCATATGAAAAGTCTGCAGCTGATTCATTACTATGTTGTCTTTTCCAAGTGAAATCCTTAAAACACCATCTGTACACAATATCACCATACTTTAATATGTTGGGGTGGTGGGATGACACCAATGTGAACAAACTATTTTGTTTCTAGTGACTAAGTTCATTGGAACTTTTAAATAATTCTGAAAAGTAACACTATAAGTATGTCAAAAATATAAAATTTATACTCAGAAAAAATATAGTTTCTAGGTACAATACGATAGTACTAGTTAAGAAAATTAAGTCTTTGTTATGGTAATGTGTAGCACAATGGTATGTGCATGTGTTCTGCACACTATAATAAAGAAATTCAGGTAAAGTTTGACAAATTAAAATCTTGTCTCCATCCTTGTGGTATCACTTGATCAGAAATCAAATAACAGAAATTGTCAGATATACACAACTGTTCATTTTAAGTTTAATATGAGAGTATTATTTAGTTTATATTATGTAAGTGTTAAAATGTAAGATATTTTTAGAAGTCATAGTTATGGCCATTTTGCTTACATAACTGTTTACGAATCATTTGTTTGATTTGACGTTATGTTACTCAAACCTTCAGAACTTTTCTCCTTGCTTTAAGTGAGTATTGTTACATCATAACATCTCATAGTTTGTAGAAAGTTCTAGGCCTCAGACAGGTAATGTATATATATATATATGTGTGTGTGTGTGTGTGTGTGTGTGTGTAGCCAACCAAGTTAGTGAAAGTGAAGTTAGATTGTGTGATAGTCAGTTTAGCCATAATGGGCAATTTCTTGTATTGTAGAAGAATAATAGAGGAGAATAATTTGACTTGTAAAAAGGTGTTCTAAAGTAATTGAACCCGTCTGTGTGGACTTTGACAATAAAGAGACAATTACTTAAAGCTCTGAATACAACTATGATACAATAGTGTAACGAATTTTTGTACATATCTTTTACTTGTTTTGAATATACTATTTTAAAACAAGTGGATTGTGAGCTGTCTAGTTATTGTTGAAATTTATTGCCAACAAGTCACAGACACCTACTGTAAATAATCCGGCCCTATAAAACCTGACAGAAATCAAAAGTCACGGTCACTTACATTATTTACTGTATAGAAACTAAAAGAGTTTCCTTACCAAAAATAGTTGATTTAAATGACAACCTCAAACTTCACTTTTAATTTCCTTTTTCTTTTAAGTGTTTATGCATAAAAACAAGAAAATATTCAAACCCTTGGTGAACTACAGGAGAATATTAAAATCTTACAAAATGCAAATATGAAACCTTGTATAGATTCTATTTTCATGGTACATGTAAAATATCATCATGATTTAAATTTCATTTTATATTACACTCAACTATAATAATTAATATGATTTTAGTTTATGAAAAAAAAAAAAGTGCTTAAATATGCTTACTCTTTTCATTATTATACCTGATAATAGTATAATCAAAATAAAAATTGGCAAACAGAAAAACATAAAACGATTGTAGAAAAAACTGTGGTCTCAGTAAAAGATATTTTGAATCTTGGAACACCTAGAAATAAATAACTCAACTGATTTATACAGTAACTGTTGAAATTAAACCAGTTACCTTGAGTCAAAGAAAAAATAGCTTAGTTTTAAAGGCTTGAAACATAAAATTACATGCACTGTTGCTGATGTTACACTGAGACTCTCTCATATATCATATGAAGAAAATTTTCAGAAAATAAATGTTTGTGCAAAGTTTATTATTCTCTTGAAAGTTTTTAATACTCCGATGACCATAATTTTGTTTCATCTACAAACACAACACAGATAACAGAAAACTCTACAGTAAAGTTGAATGAAAAGATACTTTGAAAAGACAGATATCAAAATAGATTAGCTACTACCTTTTGTTGTTGTTCTTAATTTCTTGACTTAGAATTTATTATTAGTCTTTCTTAGTGATTATAATCTATGTATTAATTCCTTAAGATACCATTAAATATTGCTCATTTTACACAAAACTATTAAATATGTGTAAAACCAAAAACACAGTGAAAACAATAAACTGAGAAAGAGAGAAAATATATTTACATCTGCTGAACAGGACATCATTGTTAAAGATTTGTTGGTACAAAGCTTTTAGTCAGTTAATACGTTGACAAAAAACAAAGTATATACCCTAGTCTACAATATTCTCAATGCATTTGTGAATTGATGCATCTTGTTAAAGCAACTCTGTACACGATAGCTTGAAATATACAGTTAACTAATGGAAAGATATTTTAGAATTAATACACTTTTTATTTTTCAAAAACTCTTGAAGTACCTATCTATAAACTGTAAAAGGGAGACAACATATAAGAGTACACTTTCTTGCAAAGTTGTTAATAAGTGAATATTTTCCATCACGCTTCCTTCAATAGAAAAAAAATGAAGTTACAAAAAACATCCCTATTTGTTTGCTACTGATAACCTCTAAGAGCTGAGATGTTCTTAGCTGGAAGAAGCTTAGCAATTTGATCATTAGAGAATCCAAGAAGATATGCATTACACATTACACCTTAAAGTGAAGATTAGCTAATGCTGACAAAACCTAGTTTCTAAATTTTTTGAACTTTCTAAAATTTACTCTTCAAGTTCCATTTCCCTAGTTTAGAGCTGAGAAAACCAATATTAGTTTGGTAATTTGTTTTAAGAACCTATATATGATTGTAACTGGCATTGCTCAAGTCAGGACTGAGCTATGTTTTCAAATTCATTCGCAAAACTTACTTATGCAAATATCATAACTTAAGCTTCAACATTCTGTACCTTAAAAATGTTTCTATGCCCACTGACTTAAATTAGTTACCATTACCTGATTTTACTCCTTAAGCCAGTCTGAAATATTCTGTTACTGTTTGCAAATTGCACATATTATTCGTTACAAGGTTTGACTACACATGAAAAAATTAATGCATGAACCATTTGTAATGTTTCCTCGTGTCTTAAGACATAAACCTCAATTTTCACGTCTTATAATTTTCATAAAAAAGGATATAAGCAAGTACCTAGAAGTTAGAACAGACAAACAGGAGACTTATGACTTAATACTATTTAGATTCTAAAAGTGAATACACATACTAGTTGTAGATAACCACCTTACATATGAATTACCTTTTCCATATATTTCAGATTAATTGATAAACAAAATGCTCAGGCTGATTTGGGGCTTGCTTCTAACAGCTCATTTAATGAATTATGATTTCTCAAAAATATAAAACGTTTAATTTTTAGTCAACTAAACATTCTTGTAAGGAATTCCAAGTTTGTTTGTAATACATATACAAAATGACTTATCTTCAGCCATTGGCTCAAGTTTGGGGAATATTTATATAATACACAAATAAACTTTTCAATTCATAATGTCTGTAGAACAAACATTCCCCAAAGATCACATTTCATATCAGTAAGTTTAAAAAACAAAACCTGAGAAGTGCTCGATGGTCTTCTTTTCTCCAATCATACTCTTTTGCATCCACTAATTTAAAGAAATTTCCTCGTTTCCTGAAGGACATGAAGAAAAAAGATAAAAGAAAGTATTTTTTAAACAATTAGTAAAATAGTTTCTGAAAGTCTCATTAGAGAAATACACTGATTATGCCTAACACATACAACATAGACAATTTTCTTTAATAAAAATGTTATATTTATAGTAATGAGGCCATATACATGTACTTGTTTACAAAATATAATTTTTTCTTATATTTATAAATCAGAATGATGACATAATAACGTAAGTGAAATATGGTTACAAAACTTACTTTATTTTATAGAACTTAAATATAAAAAACAAAATTACTGAACAGGAATAAAACTTATTAAATTAGGTTTATGTTATGCCTTAGAATTATAATGCATAGCTTTATTACTTTAGAAAATAAAATAGTCTCAGTTTTATGAAACTATACCTGAAATATACTGCAAGATCTGTAGCTAAAATAGCTTCTTCAAGAACATGAACCACTCGTGTGTACTCTTCAGTAGACAGATGGCTTAAGATTTGGTTACCCTAGTCATTTAAAACATGCACAAATTTTAAACTCAAACATTAAACAACAGCTTTAGTTTTAAAATTATGAAATTATATACATTAAGTTTGAGCTAGAATTACACTTTAGTAAACCTTTTAATATTAAATATGTGTAGATCAGACCCAAATTCTAAAGTAGAATGATCAAAATACTTATGATACATATAGTTAATTAATTATAGATAGTTTTTACAGATACATTTATTTTATTTGTTTCTTTTTCCCATTTTCTTGCATAAATAAAATAATTAATAATTGTCTATGGGGAAAAAAAGAAAGAAAAAAATTGAAGAGATTTTAACTGCATGCAAGTTTGTAAAATAGGTAAAAGCCCAACATAACAGTAATTTTTTCTGAGAAATCCTAAATAACAAATTCATCTTAAAATAAACCAAAAAAAAGAACCCATTAGGCATGGAAATCATGACAGTTACAAGATGTTTAGTTGCAGTACATAATATCACAAGCAAAAGTCATTACTTTAACACAGAACTGACATGTTATAGAACAGCTCACAGAAAAAAATAAAAAACATGATACAGTAGAATGCATTATGAAAACCTTCACACTAAAATGACTAAAAGTATGAAACTGGCCTGTGATACATGACAAGCAAATTGAAAACTTACGTTTTGCAAATGTTAAGACTTTACATCAAGAAATGTTATTAATTTTATTCATTAAAAACAACAACCTAGATAAGTCAAATTTGGAAAGTGAAAGAGTCAGAACATATAAAGTAGTGAGAAAACAAAAAACTTCAACAGTAACACAAGTTGTAAGTTAATTGAATATATAAATATATATATATATGTACAAGACATTCAAAGACACAATAAAATATATTTTTATGGTTATTTTGTAACCCATATTTATACATTGACCAGTGAACAAGGTGCTTGTGCATATTAACCTGCACGTTAATAATTACCTAGGACCAGTATTAGTACACTATTTAACACTAGTCAGGCACAGTATATCTAATGGACAATTTCTCACTTGGCTATTTAGTATCATTATACACTGGTCAAAGTGATGGTGTTCCATAGTTGATGTTGAGTAGAGTTGAGCAAGAGGTGAACAGGACCTGAAAAAAAGAAACATCAAATTTCCATGAGCTGTATCTGCACTTGTATTAGAAGTAAATAACAGGCATTAATAATATTTACACACTAGTTAATACTTTCATAGAAAACACATTATCAAAAAATTTAAAATTTCTCTGGTGAAATGGGTGTAGTTATTCTATCTGTTCACAGATGGGGTTGTCACAGATTTTACCCATACTATCTGCTCCAAACAGTATACAGTGAAATCAAATTTATCTTCTATGCTCTCTCTCTCTCTATGACTTTCATACTAATTATAAAAACTAACCTATTCATATACTATATTGGACCCATATAAATAACAATGCAAAATTCTATTTTTAATTTTTTTTATCCTAGAAAAACTTTAATGTCTAATCAAATCCATGAAAACAATTTATATCTTGGAAGTTGATTATAAACAGCTATATTTGCAAACTCTTATAAGAATTACACAATTTACACAGTAACACTTTTAACAATCCACTATGGTGTGCTAATCATTTAAGAGATACAAACAAAACAGACTACAATATATAGGAAGCTGGTTTACAAATTCTATAGCAAGATTTTCTTTATATATATATATATTCATCTCATTTCCTTATTTTATGGATCTTGCACAATGGAATTTCTAATATAAATCTTGCTATCTGCAAATAACCTAAAATTATAAATGATGTTGATACTTAAAAGCAAATTCCTTTAAATATTTATATCAGCACTTTAGCCAGAAATTTATCTTTAAGATAAAAATGTGCTCAATTTGGTGAAAATATACAACCAATACAATTATTAAAATAGTAAAATGCTGTGTAACTTGTACTTTAAAAATCTGCTCTTTTATATCTTTTCAAGCCATTTTAATAAAGTCTCAAACTCAAAAACAGTCTTACTTTTTCTGTCAAAATCTCATAACTTTGAGACAAACTGACAAGAAGATATAATATAATAAATATCCACAACTCTTATGTTTATAATCCTAATGTTGGCTAATTTGAGGATATTGTCATAAGTAGCCAACTACTAATAGATTCCACTAATCACAGATTTAAAACAAAAGAAAACAATTTGAAATGTAAAATAAAACTTCAACACCAATGGATATAACCTTTTCAGTAAAGTGAAATTATATTCTACAGAAGCTGTGTTATCTTAAGTTTTCCAGAAATAATTTTTACAACATATAGTTCTATAAAGAATAAAAGACAAAACTAAATAGAAAAATCACTAGTTTTGGAACCAAGGAATTTTTCAATTCAATTATGGAAATTTCTATTATGCATGTAGTTGTTATTGCTTCCCAACCAAAGAAATGTTTTGCTGAATGTTTCAAAACTAAAGTTTAAAATGTTTTTCTGTACCATAAGAGAACAACGACTCCCCAAAAAAAAGATAGGATTAGTAATAAAGTATTAGATTGGTTGAGAAACTGGAACATTTTTTTAGGCCCTAATAAACTGTGTAGCAAATTAAGCAAAATATATGTTATCTTTTAACAATTTTAAATTCATTGTGTTAAACACCCCCATATTAGCTATTTCAAAAGCTTTAGGGGCTATAATTATTTAATATTATTAGTATCTATATACACATGTACTTGTGATAAACGTGACTTCACTCTATACACAATATCTTTGTTGGTTTGTTTGAAGTTAAGCACAAAGCTACACAATGCTCTGCCCACCACGGATATCCAAACCTGGTTTCTAGCATTGTTAGTCCACAAACATGACACTGTGAGGCACAATATCTTTTGTTGCATCCATGTGTGCTCAAGAACTTTGATTTTTGTTCACATTCTGCTGTAAATTTAAAATTTTGATATTTCTTCTTAGATTAAACTTTGGAAAAAATATTTATTTAATGTTCTGAAAAATTAATCAACTTATTTAAATGACAAAGTGGTTTTTACACCATTTTGTTAAATTGAAATATATCAAAAATAATTCTCAAAATCAGAACTATTAGAGAATACAGTTAAAGGATTCTCCAAGAAACTAAAAAAAAAAAAGCATTTTTCATAGAAAGTTTTAATTTTAAAAAATTCATCTATAGAGAATCTGAGAAACTCAATATGACTCACTTATAAACCTCTGTAAAAATTTGTTTATCAAACTAATTATTTCTGAAATAAGTGAAAAACTAAAAGTTATTTTTTATTTCTTACTCAAGGGATGTTAACTTTTAAAAAATTCATCATAGAGTAGTTTCTTTTTGTTTGAAGTTTGTTGCAAATTTCAGATGAATGAACTTAAGTACATAATAAGAACAATTAATTTATTTGTAAATTTTTTTATCTAGGAGCTTTATATGTTTTTGTTTTTTTCTCAATACCATAACTCTTTATAAAATCTAGTGAAATTAAATTAACAATGGTTTAACTTTTTCTTTTCTATGTAATAATTAATGGAAATAAACTACAACTTAGACAATTAGTTATAAAAGTTGTGTCCAGATATACATTTCATACTGTTATTCTTACAGGTTTTTGTTTTAACTTCTACAACTTAGTGGGCCTGGCATGATCTGATGGTTTGGGTGCTTGACTTGCAATCTGTGGGTCGTTAGATAAAAACCCATCATTGAACATGCTCAACTTTACCCATGTGGACAGTATAATGTAACAGTAAATCCCACTATCTGTTGATAAAAAAGTGATCCCTTAAGTAGCTTTGCATGAAAATTCACCAAATAAACAAATACAGCTTAGTATTGTTTTGAAACAATGTTCACTTATTCCTGAAAAACACATGATAAACAATCCTGCAGTAGTTTATATAATATAGGAAGAAATTTTACCAACTTTTAACCTAAGCAGCCTAGAACACCAATTATAGCCCTATAAACAGAGAAATACCCATTGAATACTTTTTGTTATCCAACAAAGTACATCAAACCATAGCATTACATTATTAGTCTGGTTATTTTAGTATTTGTTAACAACTTGTTAACAAGTTGTTGTATTATCATTGCATTATTTAGTTTTAATTACTAACCATTTACAAATTATACATTACTTTTCATTTACAAATGATCACTTACAAATTATACATTACTTTTCATTTTCAAATGATCACTTACAAATTATACATTACTTTTCATTTACAAATGATCACTTACAAATTATACATTACTTTTCATTTACAAATTATCACTTACAAATTATACATTACTTTTCATTTACAAATTATCACTTACAAATTATACATTACTTTTCATTTACAAATTATCACTTACAAATTATACTACTTCTGATTGCTCATCATTGAATGGTGTTGTCATTCATTATATATTCCAGCATATATATAAACATTAGTTTTGCTGTCCTATACCAATCATTCTCTAAAAACTCTATAGCTGAAGAGTAACACAAGAGTAGCCATTTATTTCAAAAGATAACCTAATTTAAAGTTAAAATGTTGGAGTTGATCAATGGGTTTTCATTATTAAAGAGAATTATATAAAGTTTTGTACATAAAAGAATTAACTAGTTTTTATGTTAAATTTCAAATTCCATTCTGTCTTTGAAGTCACTTTCATTAACAGTAATGGTTAAATTTTGAAATATATGTGCAAGTATATTCCATTTATCTAATTTATTTTTAATTTTACATTCTTAGCTCAATATATGGATTTAGGTTTGTTTGTTTGTTTTAATACAAACCTACACAAGAGGCTATCAGCACTCTGTCCACCACAGGGAATCAACCCCACCCCTGATTTTAGCATTGTACATCTGTAAACATACTGCTGAAATTTTTGAGATATGGATTTAGGACTAACTTAAATCTCTCGATTTTTTTTCTTATGCCTGAAAATATCAGTAGTAGCAATGGTACCCAACTGATGATTCAAAGTGTACTAATCATTATGGGTTTCTGTTTTATGTTAATGAGCACTCCTGGTTACAGTAGTATATATTAAAACCATTACATTATTTACTAAGTTAATTTTTAGTTCTGATCTACGTAGATAACTTGCTGTAATGAGAATTTGCCGTTAGAAAGAGAGCATACATGTTTAGTTATGTTTATGTAATGTGGCCACTTCTGGCTTATCACTTTTATTGTATTTTTCAAAGTTAACTGGGTATCAGAGTTTAACTAATAGATCATTTTATGTGAAGTTTGTACTATATTAATGCAAGAGAATATTTTCTTTAAAATTAATTGTCCCAATATGGTTATATTTTTTATTTCAAATCTGTATGTATATAATTTTTAAATATGTTGTTTGACAAAAAAAAGTCAGTTAAATAAATCCAATAGATTTACTTCTTCATAGATCAATTGTGTTAATTCAGCTGCTTCTAAGAATAATTAGCTAAAGTATGGGTTTAAATTTAGAGCTTGTACTAAATGTGCATAAAAATCTTTCTCAATGTGCACTTAATCCATATCAACTGTTCTTTAACATTACCACTGATAATGGTATTTATGTAAACAACCACTGTTACAAAGACTTGTTTCACTGTGTTAATATTCATCTGAGATTGAGCACTATCCATACATTTTCTTTTTATCTGTATAATACTCTGGCTCTTATTCTAAGAAGAACAATTACTAACTTACTGTAATTAGGTCATAAGCAGTATATTTTCTAAAGATCAACAGGTAAGTACCACCTTACCTATTCTAGATTCCAATTTGCTCAGTGTATACTTCTTCACATGTAGCTATACATACTTCTTAAGATCAGATATAAAATACTTTATAGCTCTTGATAAAAAGTGTTAAACATAATATTAGAATTTCCACTTACAATACTATAATAATGCTTGGAAATATTTGTGATTTGAATTTATATTATATAAAAACATTTAAAAATACATATTCTAAACATAACTTTGTTTATTATTTTTTTTCATTAGCAAGATAATTCATAAAAATGTTTACTTGATTTGGAAAGAATTGTTGGTTCCTCTGTGGTCTAGATCATGGCACAAGCAAGCTACAATAAGGGCTAATGTCTCTAATTCTCCCAGGACTCTCCACAGTTGAGTATTCTGGTAAAAAGAAGAGAGAGAGGAAAAAGATGTTCCTGAGTCTTTAACATGCAATTGTTGATTAACAACTGACCACATATAAGCATAATTTTTTATATTTCATTTTTTTAAAGAGACATGTTTTGCAAATATAAAAAATAAGGCAAGTTTTATAAATGTATATTTTTCATCATAAGGTCTACAAACATATTAAGAATGATATCTTTGATCCAAAATCTGACAAAAAATAAATTTGTGTGCTGTTCTTACAGTTTGAAAAGAGAAAAAAATTCTGTGTGCACAAAACATTCTGAAGTGATAACTTGAATAAAGTTGTAGTAATCTTTAACGTGTTTATTTTTTTTTGGTTCAATGATTCTTCATAAAACATAAATTGTATAATGCATTTTTTCAAAAAATGTTATCAAATGTTGAAGGAAGCATCTCAGAAACCATTATGTAGTCTTAGAAGAGTGACACCTATGACTGGATGACATCTTTGTCCAGTGGCATTGCTAGAGAACATCGGCCTCAAGAAGACTTCCCAAAGATCAAATTCAAATGGATAAGCAAATTAGAATTCAACTAAGCAAGATTGGTAGCAAAATATATGAAGCCAATTGGCCAATGATAAATAAAAGTGATATGTAGTGCTGCTAACAACATAGGTACCTTTGCATCAGAAAAATGGTTCATATGCTACAGCTCAGAACAGTGGAAGGGGCAGTCCCTGCCCCTATTTATAGCATTACTTTTTAAGTCTGGCATTATCAGGTTTCTTTGCTGAAACATAATTCTGCTACTAAATATTGAACAAATAATGGTACCTGTACATAACTGCTTTTCATCATTATGAACATTTACAACCAGTTCATCTATCTGTTACAAAATCTGAACTATTAAAGACAACAGGTAATCAATAAAGAAAAATACAAACTTGATTTATTTAACAATATAAATAGATGATACTAGGATTTCACAAGTCACACTTAACTCGTTGCTCAGCACTTACTAATCAATTTCAAATATAAATAGCTTACTAACTTGACATAAGACTTATAATACTTCCCAGTGCGAAGCAGTGAATTTCACAGTATTCTGCATATGCGAACAGAATGTGCTTCTTTCAGATTTTCAGACCAACAATAAAAGTGTTTTTCTGTAAGCTTACTACATCTAAATTGACAACAGTGAATTTTATGTTATTCTTGAAAAAAAAAAATTAAATAAAGTAAAAAAAAATCTAGTGACTATCTATTTGTCTTTTGTTTAATTTAAAAACCAGTAAAATACTGCCAAGAAATAAGTTAAAATAAAACCTCTTGCACAGTTTACTATATTTTTCCCATAACTTTTCTTATACATAACCAGTACAAAATGTTGCCTGTCAGAAAGTTTTTTTTTCGTCTGCCAATAAAGATCAACAGGATTATGTTTGTAAGTCACTGCTATATTCATACAAAACTTCAGTTAAAAAGCCTAAACTAAGAGTCTAGTAAAAGAGTGCACTCTGAAGAACACTAATATTGGAGGTCTGTTTATTTGTTTCAACTCAAAGATGCACAGTAATCTATCTATCTCTACTGTGTTTGCTGTAGGTGCTGAACCCTGCATTCTTGCATTATAAACCCTCAAGCTTATCACTGAACAGTTTTTAACACCATAAAGCTCAATAATTGAACTTAAAGCTTTCTTAACATGAAGTTTATTTTATTCTTAAATCAGGGTTTATTTTTCCTATTTACAATATGTAAATAAAAACATGCATTTTTCTGTGTCTTATGAGCTTACCGTAAGAATTGCAAACATTACTTGTCCCACATTGAAAGCATGTCTCCAATTATGATATGTTACTTGTCGGTAATTTTTCTTGACACTTAACAACCATCTGCATAAAACCTAGAATTAAGACCATAAAATGGGTACATTGAAGAAAAAGTACTAAACAAATAAACTAAAAGTAACTTAAAAATCTTGACACCTGCAACTGCCTAATGAGGATAGTTATCCAGAACCTGACCGTAGGTGATAAATGTTCTAGGTTCTAGGTTATAAAGATTACCTTAATTATGTCATACAAGCAAGAGATCAGTATTCTTATATTCTACAGTTACATTAAAAATATTATGTTATACTTACATGTATAAGTGATCTAAATCTAAGTTTCTGTGGCTGTTGAAAATTACCATGATTATGTCATACAGGTAAGTGATAAATAATTTACTATTATAAAAACTTAACTAATTATTGAGCTTACTTTTTATCTGGTGCGTATGTTTAGAATACAATTCTAGTTTTTAGTTTTGTACTCTCAAAATTTCATATTTCTTTAATGTATAACCAAGAAATTACTTAACATATATTTTGAAAATAGCTAGGATTTAATACTCATTCTTAGTTCTCCAATTCCTACTATTAGAAATGTAAAAGAACTCTGACAAAGTCTTCATATTTATGTTACTACTACAGTTAAAATAATCTTTCCTTTCACTGATTTCTATAATGACAGCATGACCACTAAAATGGATTAACTTAGGTATATGATGAAATTTAAACTCTTTCTTTCTTTCCTGATATTTCTGTACACATCTAAAGACACACTGATTTAAAAGATTATAAATAATTGATAACACAACTTATAAGTAATGATATACTTTCAAAGATTCTCCTTAGCTTCATAAAGGAATGCTCACTGATCAAGTTGTTGAATACCATGCTTATATGTTAATTCCTTAAAAACCAACAGTAGTATTAGACATATGTGTGATAAATATTTAAAAAATATTTATTTTTACTAATACCAATATATTTTCAAATGCAAATCTTACCTGCATGAGCCTTCAGCGATGACCCCTCTTATACTTAATGTTAGTTGGATTTGTCTACACTTTCTATGATTGTTCATTTAGCATTCCCAAACATTCAACTTACAAACAATTAATCCTTTTTATGTACATTATGTACATATAAAATGGAAGTTACTATGAGCATTTCATTTTAACCCTAACAATTACCAACAAAAAAAGGAAAAAAGCTATGTAAATTCCAGTAAAAAATAAAGAATCACTTTCTGTCAGCAAAACCTTCAAAAAGCTTATCAGCAAACTTGGCCAATAATTAATTATTATTTCACAAAGTAATTGAACATAAGAATATGTCTAAAAAATAAGCAAAATGTGGTCAACAATGTTCTCTCTCTGAGAAGTGTTGCTACAAACAAACCTTGGGAAAAGGTCTAGTGAAAGGAGCTCGACAATAAGTGCATTGGTTATTAAATCCCACGAGTATAATTGTTTTTTTTTGGCAAAAAATGAAATTTACTTCATAGTCCTTAGCACAATTATTATTATTTTATATTTTAGTTTTTTCATTGGCATCTTTATTTGTTTCTCTGTAATAAATGCCTGTATATTAGTGCTGAAATATATATATATAATATTATTCATTCCTACTGTCATCTGCTCCAATGTTAATGAACTCCAATTTATCTTCACTCCAATTATTGAGCTTGAACACCCGTTGCTCTAGTTGTTGGGTTCTACTCATCTAGCATCATAAAGAAGAGCCACCTTCTGGTAATCCTAAGGACTATTCATTAGTGTGCAGGTTGGTAAATAAATGAAACTTGATTACTGTATTTAAATTTCTAGAAGCATACAGATTCAGAACCAGTGTTAGGCTTGAAATTGGACTATTTTTAATGCTCCCACCTGCTCCGTTTCCCACTTTGAACAGTAGTTTTGGTGGGTTTGAATTTTATCTTTTTTTATCTTCATGTTGGGTAATCTTATACAGTTCATTCACTATTTTCTATAAGAACCTAACCCTGATCATAACAGTTACTGATACAATCTAATTAAATACATTTTACTTTAGAGCATGTTATTTACATAATTCAGAGGCAATACACACTCTAAGAAAAAAATACTGCACTCGAATATGCTCTGTAGATGAAATTCGTGTATGTTTTCTATGTTATCTTTTACTATAGTTTAAAATAAACAACAACAAAAAATCTACAGTAACTGTTACAAAACTTACAATAAATAAACTTATCAGTTGAGACTGATTATCTGAGTTACATTTCATCTGCAAACACAAGATGTTACTAAACCCTAAAAAAGGTACATAAATATAATATTCTCACAAACTTTGATTCTATTCATTTGATCTAGTACATGCATGACCACTGAGTGATTCTAAATGTATTGTTGGTTCCAAGTTAATTTATGTAGACAAATCTGCTAATTAAATTCATAAATGTAGTCCATATAGAAATAACACCAATATTTAGAACAATAAAAGAAAATTATATCAGTCTATGTTTGTTTTGTTTGTTTGTTTTTTAATTTCACGCAAAGCTACACGAGGGCTATCTGCGCTAGCCGTCCCTAATTTTGCAGTGTAAGACTAGAGGGAAGGCAGCTAGTCATCACCACCCACCGCCAACTCTTGGGCTACTCTTTTACCAACGAATAGTGGGATTGACTGTGACATTATAACGCTCCAGCAGCTGAAAGGGCGAGCATATTTGGTGTGATGGGGATTCGAACCTGCAACCCTCAGATTGTGAGTCGAGTGCCTTAACCACCTGGCCATGCCGGGCCTTCAGTCTATGAACACAATGAATCACAATAAATCAAAATCTATTCCATTCTTGATAGTTACCTTGTATTCAATGTGGAAGCGCTCTATCAGGTCTAAGTCAATAAACATTCGCAAACAAGCTTTGCACATATGCTCATCCTCAAGACTAAAATCATTAAACTTGAGGTCATGCAATTTGTATGCTTGAGTAGATGGGATTACAACAAACTGTAAAAGTAAAACATCATATCCATATAAGTATTACAAAACAAAATTCATATATAGCACTAACAAATACATATTTTATTTTGTAAAAGTAATAAACTTGAATTTAGAGATAAGTAATACATGTACCAAAAATTTAAAACTCAATTTTCACAATGTTTTCTTTAAGAATTTATATAATTACATATCAAATAATTTTCAAATTAATACTTTTTAATATACCTAATTAGAGGAGACTTCACATTAAATGCTAACATAATTCCCACTTTGCCTCTGATGAAGAGATGTCCACGTTTTGAAAGCACTTGGGTTATAGCTTTTTGTAATTTTTGTCTTAACTTGATTTTTTTAACCTGTATATTTTCCAAACATCATATACAAAAATGGGAAGAATTTTTTTAAAACGACCAAAGATATACTGGTACTTTTAATATTCTTTACATTATACCAAATAACACAAGTAAAATTTATTCAAATCTCAGTAACATATAGAAATACTCATTGTGACAAAATAAAGACAAATTACGATGATAAATATTTTTTTTAAACTAGAAAAACAATCAGTTTGACAAAACGTTGACAACTACAAATTAATTAAGCTAATTTATATGTGGTTATTTGCAATTCACCTTAGCAAACTGACTTTTAACTTCATTTCAATGTGTGTGTTTAGTTTTAGAACTTTTTAAAATTTTTTATTAAATGTTGATCTCTTAAAAACTAATTACAATTATATTTAAACTAACTCCCTTGAGAGAGATTTAATTAGTAACATTCAATTAGAAGAGAAAGGTCTCCCACACTAAGTTCCAGGGCTTCTTCATATGGAGAAGTAGCATGGTAAGACAGCACTTCCAATGTTACTCTTTGCTTGGCCATAGCCTTTATAGCTTTCTCATACATTTGAGTATTGTGAATACCCATACCACAGAAAATAGCAAATGCCTAAAAACAAAAATATTAGATTTAGTTAACAAATTGAGTATCACAAAACATACAAAAATCAAATTGTCAATTTGTGTAAACCATGAAATGATACTCTAATACCTCAATACACTTTTCTATTCATGTTGTAAATTACATTTGTATTTAGAGTAAAATTCTAGCATGTTACAATAACATAATTACTTTTTTATACAAGGCTTGATAGTGCATTTATCAAAATGATAAAATCTTATCTTGTTATTTACTAAATGGAAAAATCACGGGCTATTCTAACATCCAGCTCAGACAATTTTGTGTACTTCAATGTGCAGTTGGAAATTGAATTTTGTGTAGTTACATTTTTGTATGGAGAGTTGCAGGACTGCAAACTTTTCTCTATATTTTATGTATAATAATTGATGCTATAATATGATGTAGATTTTAGCATCATTATATAAAATTTTAATAAAAGTTTCCTGAACATCTAATATAATAAAGTATGTATATCTAACTAACATTTTCAAAAAATTGACTTTTGCATCCCAAAAAGCAAATGAACAATAAATAAATAAATAAATAAAATAATGCTCAGTGCACTCCAGGGAACATTACAATGTTGTACACATTTTAACCTCTTGCTTTTGTGGTTGTAAAAGTTCTTTAAAATAGCCTCTGGTACAAATCAAAACAATTTATAATTTTGTGAATTTGGAAGCCACAGAGAAATGTTGCAAATAACATAAGTAACATAAAAATCTCCTTGTTATAGCACAAAATGTTTGGTTTATTGAAAAAAACAACTCATAATTTTAAATTAAAACCATATCAACAAATTGGGAAATAGGAAAAATAACCAGTTTCTAAAAAGGTACTCTTGTTCATAAAAAAACAAAACAAATGCAATGTTCTAGTACTTAAACATTTCTTCTTTGTGAAAAAATATTTTGTGTAGCTTTTGCTTGAATTTAAACAGTTTCTCACCTCAAAGAGATTTTCATCATTTTTGTTGAAAGGTGTTCCATTAAGTTTGTTGATCAGCTGACTCACCCCAATGATCTTTTGGTTGGCATTCCAAATGGGCATGCACAAGATACTGCAGTGACGGAATGAGCTGCCCTCATCAACCTGGAGCATCAAGATGGATGGATCTGCAAACCTTAGGCTTTAAAGTGCAAGTGTCAAGCAGTCTAAGAAATTTCCAGTCCAACTTAATTTTGGATTATTGCACTTTGTACTTTTTAAGAACATATACATAATGTAATTTTGTTTGCTATATTATTTGATCATAAAATAAATTAAAAAAAAACTCTGTTAAAGTAATTTACAGTTGTATTACTTTAAAATTATTTTTATGAAACCACTCAATACTTGTATATTTGTTCTAGTTCCAAACAATTTGTCAAGATAATGATAAATTTTAAGAATCAAGAGAGTCTTACAAGAAACTAATTACTTGGGCTTGGACTTGTTAAACGTTTGAGTATTCAACTAAAGTGTATATAATAAAACAACAAATAGCCTCATAAAATAGGTATTTAAAAACTTATTGTTCAAAATGAATAAGTATGTGTTTCTTGTTACTGTCTATATAGTTGGTTGCCTACATAAAAAAACAAAAATCCTTAATAATTTTGTGAAAAAACAATAAAAAACACTGTCACAGTATAAAAGAGAAATGCTAATTCAAATATATCAACAATTAAATGGTAGACAGTTTGTGTGGTCCTTTCACAATCAAATGTCTCGAAAATCCTGTGCCAGAAAGTTGGAAGAATGCCACCAAGCAGTAACTAACAACTTTTTCTTCCTTTGAAGATGCAATCTTTATTCTTGACAAATGTACCTAACCCAAAAGCAACAGTTCCCTAAAACAAAAGAAGCAGGTAAAATCTTGCCCATGGCAATGCCTGGCAGACTGCCTGATATTTCATTTTTAAAGCAAGGATTTTCTTTTCTTTTTACAATGAGACAGAAACATATGAGTGTGCATCATTTGTCACTACACATATATCAAACTGTGCCAAGAATTACAGTATATAACTAAGACACATATCAGTACTGTCCATTTAGATAATTTCAGAGCTTATATATGTAAAAGGCATTTCATGAAATGAAAAAAAAAAGAAGTTACTATATCATTGTATTAAACATAACCATCATTACAACTACACAAGTTTTTTTCAAACATTTTCTAGGTAAAAAGTTATAGGACAAACACATACATCAAGATACTTACAGAAGCATCAAACCTGTCATCTTTATAAGCATCAGGAATGTTGAGCACCTGTGGACAATAAGTAATTAACATGACAGAACATGCCACAACTATACAAACTTTTTATATGGTTTAAGACAGACTACTTATGTTAACGGATTAGCATATGTTAATGTGAAGGTTCTGACAAAATGTGATAAATAACCCATCAACTGGTCTTTTTCCTCAACCTTTCTTTACCTTCTGTTTTCTAGTAAATTCTTATTTTTTTTTAAATTTACAACTTGTACATCATTATACCAAGCTTGTGCTAAAACACATGACTGAGCATTCTCATAACAGCATTACGAGAATAAATTAATAAATATATGTAAAATTTTAAAACATCTGGGTGCAACACACCAGTAGATATAGTTTATGTTAAAGTGATAAGTAAATGTTTTCCTATCCTTATGAATTTTCTAATAAACTGGTTAAAATATACCTTAACCTTACAAAACAAATGAGATTAGAAAGATACAAATTCTGATTAAATAATTATTAAATGAAAAAATACAGTTCTAAAGTGTTAATTTTGCTAATAATATTTCTATTTGGTATGTGAGAACACGATATTTGTTTAAAAAAAAAGAGATTTTATCATCTGAATTATGCTTTAGTGTGAATTATTTATATTACCTATTAGAATTTTAGTACATTTTCTTCCAGTTTCAATTAAAACATTGTCTTAACTCTCACATTAAATGTAACCAGAGTGGTCAGACATTCCAGCTTTCTGTTCTGGCACCCTAACAACTACTGTTTGAACAAGAATATATTCAAATTTTTCGAAAAAATGATTTTTAAATGTTATGCACTTCTTAGTCATTTTACAACTGTCCTGCTTGGTCAGCAAATAATCACATTAATTAATATTGCTTTTTTTTTCAACTTTCAATTTTGTGAACTTTAAACATAATCATTCATTATACAACGTATTAAACACAGATTACAACAGCATGTTTTATTTTTATTATTTTAATACTTTGGCAGTTAGTAGTATTCTGGTGTTATTTGTAGTTTTGTGACTACAGAAACCCTTTATTCTTATATTCAATATATTTAGCAGAAAAACTTAAAATAGCTATAATAAGTTGGTTTTTCAATTTGTATTATGTCAACATATTCTCATACAAATTGCCTTGATTGCATGTTGCCCCTCCCATCACTGTAATGTCACGGTGTATAGTTTCAAAAATTTGGTCATCTTATGTTTAAGAAAAGAATCCTTGAAAATGAAAGTTGAAATATAGTTAAAAAAATTTAGTTTAATAATCGTTTCTAATGCTATAAAAATATGCAAATATATGTATTTATTTTCTTGTTTCATCATTCTACAAATAAAGTATAAAAAGCTGAATAATGTCAAACATTATGCTCTATTAAAAACAAACAATTTAATTACACTTTTCATAGAGAATTAAAAACTTGTTTTTTGTTAGATGTAAGAAATATATTGCATGGGAAATAAAATCAAAAAGAGTAATTGGGAAAATAGCTCTCCATACCAATATTACCTGTTTTATAAATATTCAAATATTTGTTATTAATAACTTCCAGAATTCTTTGTGAATTAAACTTCAGGTAAAATAATAGTAATATTCATAATGGGCACTCATCTGCATATAATTACCCTTTTGACAATGGAATCTCTAGATGAATATTATGGCTAACTTAGTTATTTAATATGCTTGATACTTAGTCATCATTGCAAAATACAGAAAGATGATTAATAAAATAAAATAAAATTTTTAGTGCAAGTATACATTTTCACCAGCATTACTTATTTCTATGTTTCACTAATTCAATCTGTGTTAAGTTAAAACTTCAAAATTGGTAAATGAAATAACTTTGGATTACATATCACATTTTGTTTGTCTTTTAATAATTTACTGAATGTGTATATGAATCTCAACTGTTATTTAACTCTTTTTAATATGATACACAAACAACAAAAGCTAGTTTGACAAACTCAGAGCTCTATATAAATGATTCCTTACTTCACCAGTTGTAGCCACAAACCCAGTAATCCCAATATTGATAGGAAATCTTCCTTCAAAGGGACTAAAAAAAAGATAAATATAAATATCATTTAATCAACAATACTCATAGAAAATGTTTCAATACTCACAAAAAAATAAATATAATATAGACAATTAGGAATATAATCAATTGAAAATAATGTAAGTAAAATAAGTTTTCAGCTACCTAGTACGAGAGCCACAGTCTTCACCTTCTAAGTCATTTGCTTCCAGGTCAAACACTCGAGAAAATGTTCCCTAAAGTGATATAAAATCACATCACATTTGAGAAAATATTCATACAATAACTATATGTGTGCTAGTTATTGCAATGTATTAATACAGTTTATTCGAATACAGAAAATACAATTTGATCTTAAAATTTCTTTAATTATTTCAACCACTTTTTAACAACTAATTCTTCAATCAAATCTCAACATCCAAATTAATTACAATTAAGGAAATAACTTTTAAACATGTAATAATATCAGTTTTTATGGATATAGACATGTAAATATTGTAATATAAGGTTGAAAGTTAATTTTTTCTTATACCTAATTTCAATATCAATTACAGGTAAAAGCCCAAACCTAACCTTTGTACTTTCATCCACAAGTAATACCTGGCATCTTTCACACTGAAGAAGAGACTGTGTGTGAGTCATAATTCTGTAAACAACAAGTTCAATAGTGCTCTGTTCTTCAAACACCATTCTTGCAAGATCTAAAAGCACCTAAGCAGACAGAAACTTATTTTCATACTTGGGTTGTGTTAAATGAGTAGATGTAACAAACTTAATTCTCTTAAATCCAAGAAATAAAATAATTACCTATAAATTAGAAACTTCAGTTTGATAATAGTAACTGGTCCTTAATTGCAGAAAACTGCATCTACTTAAATAGACATTTAGTTTGTCAGAAAATTATAAACTAATTTTTCAAAAGTATTTCAAATGGGAAATGCTTAAAGAAAATGTTTAATAGAAGCAGTCGTATATATATATATAACCATCACATCTGTATCTGTTGTGATGATCTGTTCTATAACAGTAACATGGAAATTGGTTCATCTACAATAGCTTCAACTAGCTCAATAAAGATACATTCAGTAATCATGGGAACTGTTTATTAACACATAAAGACAAGTTACACAAGACATTTCATAAACACTGGACAGTTGACATTCAATGCTGAGTTGCAAATCCATCAGGCACAGGTAAATTGTCACCTACATGATACTGACTGTATAAGCAATGCTAATAAAAAGAATAATGAAAACTCATTTTATAACTCACCAGTTAACCATTCATACACCTCAGCTCAGCGTACAGTTGTGACACATAGTTACAATAATTAACATAACTGTACATCACAAACTAATCAACAATAAGCACCTTATACATCCAATATCATGTGACTGTTGTCTTACATCATAAACTGTAGTTCAAGTTTTGACAAGACGATTGCACAAAAAATAGGAAATTTTTAAGTTATTATTACTAGAAGTTATGTCTGTAATTTAATAAATGTATAATGATGTGATAATATAATGATTATGTGCCAATAGACACTTGCATCTGAAATAAGAAATAATGACAAATGAATTCCTTATAATGTGCTAATCAATCATTCTAGCATATGTGTAACGATATGATTATGTACCAACAGATGCCTGCATCTCAAAAAAGAAATAATGCAAACTGAATTTGAAAATAAATGTAATTTATATGCTACACATAACTGTGATTATAAAGTGGTTAGTAAAACTCAAGATGATTATGAGTACATTATATGTTGATCTCAAAAATAATGTATTGCTCAGTGTCATACATAACTTATCAAGTAACCAGAAATGCAAAATTTAACACAACATTACCTAGAAACAGCAAGGGACCATTTGGTCCTTCAAGACTGTCCTTGCACACCCAACTTTTGGAAATGTAAAAATTTAAGCCCACACTTGACTTTTGAGGAAATCATAAATTCCCCTCTAAAACTCTCATAAAATACTCACCTTCATTACTGCCAATTATAACTCATTCCATAAATCAATCACCTTGTTAGAAAAATAAAATACTGTTAACTGGGGCCTAGCCTGTCTTTTCCAAATCTTAAGCTTGTGTCCTCCTCTTGTCCTATTGTCTTCAGAAGATAGTACAATGAAATCAGAAGTCTTTATCCTAATGATCCTCTGGATAATCTTGTAAACTTCAATAAAATCATACCTTACCCTTCTTTTTTCAAGAGAATATAAGTTAAGGAATCTTAACTTATTCCTGTAAAATAACCCTTCCATCTCTGGAATCATCTTATTAGCCCACCTCTGAACCTTTTCCAATAAGTCAATATCCTTTCTTAGAGAAAGAGATAAAAATTGTACACAGTATTTCAAGTAACCAAACTATTGATTTCAATAGAGAAATAATTGTCTTTACTACTAGCAACAAAGCATGACTTGAGTGACTTATATACCACTATGCCAAGATCTGTTTCTTCAGTTCACGCTATTAAGTTGGTTATTTCCTATATTAAAAAAGTGATCAAAAGTATGTCAACCCAAATGCATTACTTTGTACTTATTATAATTAAGTATCATTTGCTATTTATCTGTCCATGTTACCAACTGAGTCAAGTCTTTCTTTAATGGTTCAATACAGTTATAAATACCCAATAGTTTATTGTCATCAGCAAACTTTACTAATTTTCTAATCATACCCCTATCAATATCATTAATATATATTAAGAAGGAACAAAGGCCCAAGCACTGACTCCTGAGGTACTCCACTAGTAACAGGGGTCTTTGGAGTTCAACTGGACTTCATTAATAACAACATTTTGCATTCTCCCCTCTAACATTCCTACAACCCAATTAAACTTGTTTTTTTCCCAACCCATACTGATGTGATTTTCTTAGCTAATTTTTTGTGTAGTATCTTATAAAAAATCCCAGGCCTTTCTTTTCCCTTGTCTACATAATAAATAACATCACTCAAAAAAAGTTGACAGATTTCCCTTTGAAGAAAGCATGTTAGCTTTCATTTCTGATATTATATTTCACTAAATAATTCTGTAAAGTTTCTTTTACAAGACTCTCTAGAATTTTATCCAGTACAAAGGTAAGACTAACTGGACTATAATTTCTAGGGCAACACTTATCACACCTACCCTCTTTTTTAAAAACTAAAGTGACATAAGTAACTTCCAGTCTTAAAGTTCCTGCCCATTCCCTCTATTCCTCTACCAAAAACGAAAGATAGGGACACCCTCATATATCTGATTGTTGATTCCCTTTGTCTTATCGTGGCATTTTATCTACTTTTAAACTACAAACATGTCTATGGTTTCTATGTTTCTACTTATGTCTGCTGGAGAAGAATAGCTTAAAAAGGCCTTGACACGAAACTCTGAATTTTCATTCAACCAAAAAACACAGACTTAAATCACTGTTCAATAATCATTACAACAGAATTCATAACCAATAGAAATTATGTAGAAAACATATCTGACTTTCTTGCTTAATATAGTAATGCATTAGGATTCAAATATATTAGTACTTAGGTACATGGAATATGTAATCAAATGCATTCATCTTACAACAGAAATTGGATTTACCTGATTTCTTTTGTTTTCTAATTGTGAACGCTCATATAACTGGGCATTCCGAAGTCCAATTCCACAAAACTGTAGGTACTGAGCAAACACCTGTGCAAATACAATATGAATTACTGAATTCTTTCCTAGATTACATTGACTTTATTGTATTTTTGAACTACAATGATGAAACTATGAATATTATATACATTTCTTCCAAGCAATCATTATTATATTCCTAGATGTAGGTTTACAGGAAAAAGTTGCCCTGTCTTAATTGATCTAAAATAAAAGATTCATAGATTTTATAAAAATGTTTAAGTAAAGTTGTATCCAACTTTTCCTTTCAAACAATTTTACACCAAGTTTCAAGCAGTGATTTAATAATAAGCCAAATGTAAGTACCATTTGATCATTATCATCAAAAGGCTCTCCATTAGGTCCATTCTTGTTGATGACTTGTGCCACACCCATAACTTCCCCTTCAATGTTGGATATTGGCATACATAACATGCTTCTGGTGGTGTAGCCAGTTTTCTGATCAATCAAGTTATTGAACCTTGCATCCTAAAAAATTTAAGTTTTTTGATGATTCAGTTACATATTTTCAAACACACAAAAAACAAACTAATATATATATATATATAGAGAGAGAGAGAGAGAGAGAGCATTCAATTGTATATATATATGCATAAATATGTTTAAATAAATACCAATTCATCATTAACATTACGCCAGAGTAGTTTATGCTACGAAACTATGAAAATCTTGTAGGTTATATTACGTTCAACAGATGGCGTTGTAAATTATTATTTTAAATTTGTTGCACTCCAAAAAACAAAAAAGTGTAGGATGCAATAAAATTAAAATCTATCTTTTTAAAACTTATTTTTAATTTATGCTTCTGTATTATTGAAAACAATACATTTTTATAGTATTAACTATTTCAATTACTTGGTCTAATACTGTTAACAGGGTAATGACAATTTACATTTGAGACTCTTCTTAAAGTTATGAATATAAATAAAACTGCATCACTCTAATAATATTTAATCAATTTATCCAAGTCTTGTATAAAAACTTATATCACAAAAACTATTTTCTGAAGAGAAAATACATACAAAAAGTATGCCTAGCTAAGATGTTTCTGTGATAAGAATAAAATCAGCGTACAATAAGGGCAAAAAAACAAACAAAAAAAAACTTAATAACGAAGGCCACAATTCCAAACTGTAATATCATAATGTGTAAATAGAATTCATCAAAGCTTCACTCTGATTAACTGGAAAGCAGGCAAAAAAAAAAAAGAAGAAGAAGATAGGAATATCTAATCAAAACATGTTCTTAATTATTTCAGCTATTTCCAAAAGAGAATAAAGGTGGAGCAACGAAGCAAAAGTATAATTTAGTCTTTTATACCTCATCAATAAAAACACATAGTTTAAATAGCATAAAACGATATCGTATCTAAATTTGATTGTTCCTTGAACGATCCTTGCATTACTTTACTCATATCGTGCGTGAACGAGGATTATTTATTTTATCTCAAACCTCCATAGCCCAATTTTTCATCTACAATAATAATTGTTCACATTAAATGAAATTATTTTTAGAGTTCCAAAGTTTATAATGCATTTTTAAGTTAGATAATATTTTCGTTATAAACTTATATCACCTTTTCAGAAAACCAAAAATTTTCTCAAACAATGCCAGTAACAAAATGGAAAAATTATAAACACAGAATATACAATATGTGCAACAGCTTTCCGCACCAGTTTCATATTTATAATAAGATAATTTTCAACGGTAATATCGTGTGTTTTAATCGTGAATTTATTTTAAGAATTCGTTTTTTAAGGGGTTAATTCTCTGCATGGTAATTACGTACTTGAGTAAAATCAATTAATCTAAACGAGCGCCCTTAGTGGCTGAGCAGCAAGTTCGAGGACATACAAAGCTAAAATTTATGGTTCGTTAGTAGCGGTGGACAAAGCATATATAGCCCACTGTGTAGCTTTGCGCTTAACAATACACTAACAAACCAAACCAGAACATGACACCAAGTGGTTTAAATAATAAGCTGGCGAAATAAGCGTTACGTGGTACGTTTCATCACAAAAACGTTCATTGTGCACGTGTTGCGCGTACAACTGTTTCAACTAAGCAAGGACACTAAGGCCATCCTGATCAAAGTCTAAAGTGTCGTCACCCGTACAGATGTGCAAGGAGGTGTATTAGATCACTTCTGCGTAATCCTAGTAAAACAATTCCTGATCATTCTTTTCACATTCATAATAGTCTTATCATCATCTGTGAACATTTATTAGACAATATCCATAATACCGTATTGTTTCATATTTCTTTTGAATAATTACATTGATTTTCACATAATAGGAAGTGTAAAAAAGAATAATTACATTTGCCAAGCATTCAAACAACTACTGGTATTTCTTAAAAAGTTTAACACATAAACAATACAAAAAAATATTGTTACGACAGCGGAAGTCACGTGATGCTAGTAACGTCATGATATTCTCGAAGGTTCTTGAATGCTCGAGTGTTTACTAGATGTGCGGTATTCTTCTATATAAGACCGCCACGAAGTGACAGCAACAATGGAATTGAATTGCAGACAGAGATAGAGACGGACAATTGAGTCAAGCGCATGAATCGTTCGTTGTGAATTATAGCGTTTGTTTAAGTTATCGCGTGACTGTGGAAATTAAGTGTATTGCAAAGTTGTATTGAGAAAGAA